GCGCTGCAGAGTCAGGCGGTCAAGCCCGATGACGTGAGTGAATCAGCAGTTCATGGCAGATGTCCAGCTGAATCCATATTTTAACTTTTATTTCCCCCCCCCTCCCCCCAGTCAAACCTGAAGCGGAAACTGGATGCTCACATGTAAGTCATCAAGATGGAAGCTCTCAGCAGATTCAGAGAATGTGCAGTTGTTCGTCCCTAACCGACGCAAACACGGCAGTTTTAATTACAGAAAATATTTGTGTGAAAAACGCTTAGATGCCATAAAAATAAAAAAGATTGGATTCAAATTTCTACACCCCTCTCAAAATGACGAAAATGTTTTTTAGATGAATTTATTTCAGGAATAACTACAAAAAATAGTGCTGAGAAAACGTTCTGGATTTAGTAACTTTTGTTCTCTTCCCCATAGTGGATGTTGGTGCAGCCATTGTCCAAAACCGTTTTTTTGTTGTTTTTTTTTAAGTTAATGAAAGGTTCTTCACCCAACACTACATTTTGAAAATGTGATTATATTAAAAAAAATTTTACTATTATAATTTACTAAGAAATTAATGTGCTAAAGAAATAAACAATGACAGATTCTGATCAAGTGTGCACAAAAACAAAAAAAGTTGACTGGTGATATTTAAAATTAAAAAAAAAAATGTTGAATACTTGTGTGCCAAACTTCAGGTCCACCGTATTTAGATTTGTTTGAATATATAAATTTGCAGATGTTAAAAAAATATACATATTCATGCTCTCATTTTTTTTTTTTTTAAAGTTAATGAAATCCCACAAGGTTCTTCGCTACATTTTGAAAATGTGATTTTATTTAATTTTTTTTTACTATTTATTATAATTTACTAAGAAATTAATGTGCTAAAGAAATGAACGACGACAGATTCTGATCAAGTGTGCACAAAAAAATGTTGACTGGTGATATTTAAAATTAAAAAAAAAAAAATGTTGAATACTTGTGTGCCAAACTTCAGGTCCACCGTATTTAGATTTGTTTGAATATGTAAATTTGCAGATGTTAAAAAAATATACATATTCATGCTCTCATTATTGGATGTTGTGTTGAATTTTGAGGGGAAAATTGTATTTTGTCTATATTGGAAGAAGTCTACAACTGAATACGTTCTGAATGCACTGGACAAAAAGCGGACAGGTTTCCACAAGAGCCTAACATACTTGTTTCCTCAGGGTCCAGCTGAATGAGGCCCAGGATGAAATCCTGAAGAAGAAAGAACTGCTGGAGGACCTGCAGCCCGACAACACTCAGAACTGTGAGTGCCACGCCGGGCCACGTGGCCATGGGGCCCTCCGCTCATGAAGTCCAAAATGTTTTTGGTTAGCCTTCAAGGTGGATGAGCTCATGGCCGCGCTGAAAAAGAAGGACGAAGACATGAGGGCCATGGAAGAAAGGTACAAAATGTACCTGGAGAAAGCTCGCAATGTGAGTCCCTTGGGTCTTTTCATGTCCTCGGCCTACCGAAGAAGTTGAGGGTTTTTGATCCGGAGCATCCTTTCCTTCCAGGTGATCCAAGCTCTGGATCCCAAACTGAACCCTGCCACCACTGAGATCCAAGCTCTGAGGAACCAGCTGGCTGACAGAGACAAGCAGATCCTCAACCTGGAGGTAATTCCGCTCCCATGTTGTTGTTGTTTTTTTTTCCCTCGAAGGGCCGTTGAAACCACACCCATTTTCAATTGTCTCATCGCCTTATTATTTGTACACAACAAATTATCGGATTACTAGTTTTGAAATGAGTCAACTACAATAGTTTGTTCAATTATAGTTCAAGTGAGTGTAAACAGGATAACAAAATTCTTGAAAGTTCTCATTTCTTATGACACATGACAATTTGAGGTTTTTCGTGCACATTTTAGCGAGGATCGTGCAAGTTGACACTCATGATTTGCTCTCGCGGGCCACGTAAAATGACGTGGCGGGCCGGATCTGGCCCCCCGGCCTTGAGTTTGACACCTGTGTTACATGGCGTTATAGAAAGCAGAAAAACCACTGGAAAGGCATGAAATGGTGATTTTTTTCAGTGAAAGGTGAAAACCTTTTGTCTTCCAGTAAAAATTTGCAAGTAGGTGAAAGGATTCTTTTTTTGGGGGGGGGGGGCACATTTGATGATTGTCTGCATACAGCATCTCGCCCGCACAAGTCAGATAAAAGGGAAACCGCCGAAGCGTTGCGCTGACTGAAACGTGTCCACTGTCGCCCCCGCAGCGCCAGTGCGAGCAGGCCCGACTGCGCGAGTACGAGGAGAAGCTGATCGTCTCCGCCTGGTACAACAAGGTAAGGTCAAAGATGTGCTTCCGAGGGCCCGGCGTCCACGCCCACGTTACGCAGGAACACGCTTGTCTTCCCCCTCAGAGTTTGAACTTTCAGAAGCTGGCCATCGAGACGCGTCTGGGGGCCCGCGCCGCCTCCGCGCTATCCGCCGGCCAGTCCTTCTTGTCCCAGCAGCGGCAAGTGTCCAATGCGCCTCGCCGGGCGCTCTCCATCAGCGTGCCGGCCGCCGCCTCCAAGTAGGGCCTGCTCAGAGCCACGTGCCTCCCCTCGTTTCGTAGAGATGAAAGTCCTCCGGGTTTTCAAGTTTTCATGAAATTTCCTCCGGAAAATTGAGGGAAAATTGCCTAAAATTAATCCGGATATTAGTTGACAACATTGAACGAACATGCGTTTGAGTTCGTTGTTTTGCTTTCACAGGCTAGTAACAGTGTAGCGATGCCACTCAAGCAGAAAGCTATCAAATAGGCCTGCCGGTCCTTAAATACAGAAAAATTGACCTCACTTGGCTGGTTATATTTGTACAAAGTATATTTACTGCAATATAATCATGCAATGCATCAGCCTACACAGAAAAAAAAAGTTAAATTTACTCCATTTTATTTCGTCAAGTGGTTGCACAAAATAAGATCTGGATCCAGATATATAAGTATATGGCCGAGGATCGAACCCGCAACCACTGAGCCGTGCCGCATAGCGGTTGGGAAACCACTGAGCTCAGGGACCAATCCACCTTCAAGTGACCTTAAACATGTCAGCACCTGGGGGGACGGCCCCAGGTGAAGGATGAGGCCATTGAGTACTCGGACGATGGGATTTAAAGGCCCCGCCCATCTGATTCCATGTCACGCAGACACCAGAACATCCGCCATATTCCCCACGCTGACTGAACAGGACCCTCATAACCTTTAGCTCGCGTTATGTGCGGGAATGTCAAGACTCGATGATAGTGACTCGAGGGAGGTTTGGTAGATTTGGTGCCATCTATCGACCGCTCACACACGCCAGCGGATTGCTAAAATACTGCTAATGTATGTAAAGATGCTTAGCAAAATCAAAGTTTAATAATGTGAAGTACAATCGGGGGACAAGAAATCCAGCATGTATCATGTTAGCCGCCAGGGAGTTGCACTGATAATATTGTGATTTTAACACCAGCAAATGTCCCACACAGGATTGAGCGAATTTGTAAACAGTCTGGGTTGGTTTTATACTTAATCTGCCCCCAAACAGTCTCATTCTATCAGGATGTGTTAATATGCGGATGTACTGACTGTTATTTAGAATGTAGATTCTTGTATATTAAGATCGAGTAGCACAGTGCATTTATCTGTACGTAATGCTGGGGTGGGGGTCAGAAAAAACATGTTTAAATGAAATAAAATCGTAAATAAATGAAGTCTCGTGTGAATCCTGAACACCTTAGTGTTAGCGAACTCGGAATTGTCGGCTATCGGGGATTAGCTAAACCGTTTATCAACACCTTCATCTTTGTGACTTCGTTTCCAGACTCTCATGGTGGCAAACGAAGGGAGTTTGCTGATTTCAACGTCGGCGAAGAGACAAAAAAAAAAAATACTCAAGCGCCATTGTTGGCCTCCATATCCAACATTGAAAGGGCAGCAGTGGCAAGCGCGTTAACAGGAACCTCACGACGCATTTACACCAATCAATTTTATTTTAAAAAAAGGACTCAAGACGTCATTGGATTTTCATTCATAAAAAAAGTCCTCTATGTAAAAGATTAACCTTCAGACAGATGTGCGATTATACTTAGTATTAAAACAGCACTACATCTGAACAACCCAAAAAAAAAATACCAAAAATGGCTTTGACATCCTTTTACAAACTGTCGCTAAAAGTTTCCGATGTTAGCTCTAAAACCACAGAAGAACAATTTCATTACCCCCCTCCCGCCACAACTAGGCACATAAAAACACCATGAAACCCCCCCTCCCCCCGGGTCTTTTGACCACCCACCAAGTCTATTTTACAGTACAGTACGTATATGAGCATCATGGACATGTGCGATGATGTCATGACTTGCGAAATAATTACACCTTTTTTTTTGTTTGTTTGGATCACTGTGTGTGTGTTAGTAAAAGGATGGTGGAAGAAAGCAACCAAGAATTTACAAACCTCCACAGCCATTAAAGGAATCACGGTACACACACACGTCAAATGGATAAAGAAAGTCAACACAACCGTGTTACAGCAGCAGCTTTTTGTGCATTATAATATATATTTTTTTATCCTTCACACAAATATATCCCCTTACACCGATACTGTATATATCACCGTATTTTCCGCACGATAAGGCGCACCTAAAAGCATTGCATTTTCTCAAAAGCCGACAGCGCGCCTTATATATGGATCCATATTCCGATTTCTTTGACGTAGTATTTTAAATGTCTCCATGTTTACTTTTGTCCCCCAGCTTTTTTTTTTTTTTTTTACAGGGTTGCGTTGACTTCCAATGTAACACAGACAGTTCATTGCAAAAGTGAAAGTGCATACAAAACATGATATTACACCAGTAGACCAAAGTGCGCCACCACTTTGAATATGTTGATGGCCTCATACCATGGAAAGCCCCCGTGTGTAGGTCCTCATTTTCATCTTTATAATCGTCATTGTGGCGTGTGATTGCAATCCGTAAGGCAGAGAATGCAGACAAAAAGGAAAAATGCAACACACACTATATTTAAAAAAAAAAAAAAAAAACGTGCATTCCTTAAGTGAGGAGTTCAATGGCGTTGTCCTTTTACGCCCCTCTGAAAATGCGTTTCAAAAGTTGGTGACGCAGATATGAAGAAAGGTGAGCCAAGTTCATCAGTTTGCTCACTCGGAAGCGCTGCTGCTGCTACTTAGGACCTCGTTGCTTTTGCCCAGGATCTTGCACAGCTCGGGAGACATGTAGTAGGGCCTGGCGAGGGAACCGTCGTTCCGCTCCAGGTCTTCGCCTGACCGCCGCCATCCAGCACGGAAAAAGCAGAAATGAAAGCAGCAGGTGGGAAAAGAAAGCATTGCGGAGTAGCTGAGTGAGGAGTGAAATCATAGCAAGAGAAATGCAAGAATTGAGTAGAAGCCAGCTCAACTATTTCTGCTTGTCATTGTCTTTATTTTTCTTTTTTTGGGTTGACGCTGAGGTGGTGATTATCGAGTCAATGTCGAATAACCAATGATGGCTTTTATACTTCTGTTTTTAACTCGCTATCACCGGAGAACTGTTTGCCTCAAGCTCAGCTGGCTGAGTCTGAAGAACCAAAATTGTGGTTTGATTTAGTAAGAAGGAAAGTTTGGGAGGAGGAACAGTCAACATGTCATCTGCTATGTGATGTGATGTGAAATCTGTCTTTAAAAGTCGGCGTCGCGGCGTGTCGGGGAGAATAAGGCTACTTACAAAAGCACAGGAAGAGTGTGTCCACGCATATGGAGTAGACGCTGAAAAAGCCATGCGCGACTAAGTAGGATAACAAGATCACCATCTGGAAGAACAAGGGATAAAAATAATGAATAATAATAATGATGAAGTAAAAAAAAAAATAAAGCATTCAGGACATAAATGAAGATAAAGTTATTAGAAAAATCATCCAGCCATTCATTTTTTTATGCCATATATATCATCACTAACAAAAAGCGTGCATCTTGATTTTGTGTGTGTGTGTGTGTGTGTGTGTGTGTGTGTGTGTATTTTTATCCCAAGCCAAAGTAGATTTAGACTACAAAATGTAATTTCAAACATAATTACGTCAACAATATTACATATAAGTTATAGCATAATTTTTTAAAAATGGACAAGAATTTCTGGAAGCCATTCTTTTTTTTTTTTTTTTTTTTTTTTTTTTTTTTGGGGAAGGTTTTAAAAA